CCTGTATTAGATTTCAGCATGATTATGGCAGCAGTCACATCAGGTCAGCTGAACTTACAAAATTTTTGTCCTCATCTATATGGAATCTGAAGAGCAGGACCATTCTAGTTTGGGACCTGACCTGAAATTAAAATCCTTGGGGAACCTGCTGTGATATGAGGGTTTGAAGGACAACCTACAAACTCAGATGTGCAACTTAGTGGTTCATAGTTGAGGAGGTTTCATAATTTTGCCACCGTGTAGTTTTTGGCAGCTTTATTGTTTTATATTTAAAAATTAATTTTAAGATAGAAATGAGGATTTTTAATAAGTGTTTTCCATGTCCTTGAATGCTTATCATTCAGATTTGTGGAAAGCGCACCATAATATCATGCATTACTTATTTATGCTCTCATGTGTATAACTGTTGAGCTGCTTAAACATCTACAGAATTTTCTGTTAGTTGCATAGCTTGTGTGATGGTTCCATGTATTGTGCCAGGAACAAAATGTCCCATGTATTTATTACATAAGTACTGCAACGTTCTTACCCACTTAGTTGATTCAGGCAGATTCTGTGATGTAAAGCACTTGGGTAATGGCTTAGTGAATCTATTAGCAGGGATGCATTAAATCTTTTAAATCATCTATTATTCTGCTTCTTCTGTGTATATCAGCTGTGTGGGTGAAAATGTAAGTTGCCTCTGTGAAGCATTTGCAGCATGTGTGAGTGTTACATATATTTTTCCTACAAGCATTAAATAGCTTTGTCTTGTGCGTTTTATTTGCTTTACCACCACTGAGAGTCATTTCATATCTTTAAAGCATGGCTTTCCAAACTGGTAAAATGGACTTTGGTTATGTTTTAAGGAGATTTTGTTGTCTAAGTGCAGGAAAAATCGTTTTCTGTCAGAAGAGAGAGAACCTTTTCACATTTGTTCTGGCTTCATTCCATTTAAGGTGTGACATGTCCATTACTTTTGCATGTGGTTTAAGGTTAGCAAGGCTTTTCCCTTCCCCCTTAATTCTTTTATCTTTTTGCCATGAGTCTGTAGATTCAGCTGTGTAAATTTGAAGGATTGTGCATCTCCAAGTTGCCAAGAAAAAGTAGCTTATGTGGCAGTGAATGACTTTGTTTCCTTTTCCACCAAAAGACAAACACAGAATGGCCTTTTAATGCCCTTGTCGGTTAGGCCGTACATGATAGAAAATGAAGGGCCTCTGTGGCAGGAACAGCTTTGTAAGATAAGGAAAGTAATGATCAGAATGTGAATGCTACTTGTTTCTAATTAGGCAGATGGCAAATGTGTTTGTAGAGCTGGTAGTGGCATGCTTCCAGTAAATGACCAACACATGAAAAAAGGAAATCTGATACTGGTTTGGGCCTATTTTAATATGCATCGCATTTGTTTTTCTTTGCCATTAGCCCGACTCTCTTTCTGTTCTCAGTTGTCTTGATAATAAGCTGGAATGAGATATTGATGCAAAAAAATTCTCATTTCATTTCTTTCACCTCTCTTTAGATAGTCTTCTTGTTCACAGTTCTTAGGGGGATTAGAATTTATGCCTGCACTATAACCAGTGTTTGTCTCCATTTTACTGCAGCTGTTATAACTAAGGATTAAAGAGGATCTACAGTATGTACATTTTTGTTCTTTGGCACACAGGTCCCAAGTATTGTTCTGATGCAGCTGACTGAGCTCTGGTATTAGGAGTCCTCCAGAGTATCTACAGCTGAATCTATGGTGTACTCCCAGCATCTGTTATCTGAATTAAATGTGTCAGTTGTACAAATGAAAGCAACAGAAGTAAAATGCAGGACAGTTTTTTAGGAAAATAAGAGACATTTGTATCTACAACAGAGGGTCTGGGTCATGATAATTGCATATGGAATTGGAAGATGGTTTTGGAGAGGGAAGGAGGTTGGATTACAGTTGACTGGTAATCAATCCATGTAATTCAGTCAGCTCTTTATGGGCACATATTCTACAATCAGGCCAGCAGAACTTGGTTGTTCCCTGCAATTCACCATCATATTTATTCTATTCATGTGACACAAATGCTGTATTAGATTAGGAAAGTTGAACACAGACATCCATGGCGTTGTCTCATCATGGGAACTGGTGGGCAAAATTGAAACAAGACTAGAATTCTTGTAGCATAAACGCAGGTGTCAGTATCCCTTGTTCTCAATCAGGACCAAAACCAAAAATACTGTTACCAAATGGCAAAGTTGTAATGGTTCATCCCACTTCTAGTAATTATAGCAAAATATTTTTAAACTCCAAAGTTTAACCTCCCCTCCCCACATCCTTCCTTTTTCAGAAGGAATGATTCATTATTCTTTTTGTCTGCTGTCCTATATTGTCAGTTGACAGGGAAGATAGGCTAGCCCTTGAATTGAGTTATTTCCCCCCTCACATTGCAGAAGGATCAGTAGAAAATGTGGGGCCTATAGGAAGCTGCTGCGTTTCTGACAGAAGGTGAACAATTTCTAGTGTTTTTAGTGTCCCTACTCCTCCTTTGTGCCTGTTGTGTGATTTTTGTCAGAAAGCAAGAGTGTAATTACAATTCATAATTTGTCCCCAGGTTCTTCACCGTTCCCATTTCACAGAACAAAACAGTTATGTCCAAATTTACATCATTCTCCAGCACTAAAGCACCTAGCATAAGGAATTTTTTTTAACTTTGCGATTCAGACTTTTTAATGCAATTTATAGTTCAGGGTTCAGACATTAGTCTAATCAAGAATCTTGCATATGAAGAGACGAAACTTATTTTAGCCAGTAATACATATACCAATTATGGGGAATGGTAAAAGTATATTTGGCTATATATGTTTATTAACAGACTCACTTATGTTGACTTGAGCAATATAAATGATAGCTATCTAATAAAGATATAGTCTTTTGGTTTCTATTCTGTTTTATCTATTTCAGAACTCTACAGGAAATGCAAACAATTATCTGATAAGCTGGGGGAAAAGCTCATTTTAAAGAACAACCTATTTGTTGTTGTTAGTACTTGAGTTGATAGCAGAACAATAAAACATGCAGATTTTGAACTTTTTCTTAGTTTAGTTTTTAGTCTCCAAAACAGACAAGATTTGTTGCAAATATTTTATTGAGCAATAAAGAAAGACGTAGTTTATTCCCACATGTGTTGATTTGTTGTTCATAGCACAAAATAGATACAGAAAAGGGAACAGTTATCGGTCCCCAGCACATCCACCCACAGGCCTTTCATTTGTCACATTCTGTTCCCAAACACTCCCCCTAATTCCTAGCAAAATACAACCAACATAAACAAAGGAGGAAATAAATGAAATGCCTAAAATAAACAGTGAGTTAATCAAAAATCAATAACTTTTCTTCCCAGACTGTATTTAATTGTCTGAGCTTGTGTACCTTCTCCCTATATTATGTAGCAAAAAAAATATTAAATGAAAATTAAACTTATAAAGTCAAGCTCAGAAGTTAAGAAAAACCAAAATTAAAGTTGTTTGTTCACCCTAATTGGGTCCCCTTGTGTTTTACGCCTTATGATACAACCTTTAATTACATGTACATGAACTATTTTTTCCACAGAGCCTTTACCTTATACAGTGCATGAGATGGACTGTACTCTCTGAATGCATAGTGGCTCTACAATATTTCTTCTTATCCTTACCATTATGTGAGTGGCATCAGGCTTCATTTAACAAATACCACTTGGTCTCTGCAGTGAATAGAAAATTAAGGATTTTTCATAAAGTTTTAAGATGTGCTGCTCACCATAGTACTTGAGGGCACTTTTACGTGTGCTCTGGGGTGAGGGGGAGTGGTGCTTTAATTAGAGCAGCTCCAGGAGCCACTCTAATTAAAGTGCCACAGCGTCTCATGTATCAGCATCCCTGTGCTTTGAAATGGCAGCAGGGGCACTTGAACGTTGCTCATTCAACAGCACGTTGGAACAGCCTTCACACTCGTGGCACCCTGAGTGTTTCAGACCATTAATTTGCTTACCATTACCACAGCCTTGTAAATCACCAGGTCAGCCTGGTAATCCAGGCTGACCTGGACAGGCTCAGCAAGTGGGAGGACGAGAATCTGATGGTGTTCAACGCCGATAAATGCAAGCTTCTCCACCTTGGGAAGAAAAACCCGCAGCATCCTTATAGGCTCGGCAGTGCTATGCTGGCTAGCACTATGGAAGAAAGAGACTTGGGGGTCATCATTGACCACAAGATGAACATGAGCCTGCAATGCGATGCTGCGGCTAGTAAAGCAACCAAAACGCTGGCTTGCATCCATAGATGCTTCTCAAGCAAATCCTGGGACATCATTCTCCCCTTGTACTCGACCTTAGTGAGGCCACAGCTGCAGTACTGCGTCCAGTTTTGGGCTCCACAATTCAAAAAGGATGTGGAGAAGCTTGAGAGAGTCCAGAGAAGAGCCACGCGCATGATCAGAGGTCAGGGAAGCAGACCCTACGATGACAGGCTGAGAGCCATGGGGTTCTTTAGCCTGGAAAAGCGCAGGCTCAGGCGTGATCTGATGGCCCCCTATAAGTTTATCAGGGGTGACCACCAGTATCTGGGGGAACATTTGTTCACCAGAGCGCCCCAAGGGATGACGACTAGGTCGAATGGTCATAAACTACTACAAGACCGTTTCAGGCTGGACATAAGGAAGAATTTCTTTACTGTCCGAGCCCCCAAGGTCTGGAACAGCCTGCCACCGGAGGTGGTTCAAGCACCTACATTGAACACCTTCAAGATGAAACTGGATGCTTATCTTGCTGGGATCCTATGACCCCAGCTGACTTCCTGCCCTTTGGGCAGGGGGCTGGACTCGATGATCTTCCGAGGTCTCTTCCAGCCCTGATGTCTATGAAATTAGGGAAGAATTAGTTTTCATGCTGTATTGGTGGGGGAACTGAGGCACACACTAAAATTAATGAAGCTATTAACTGATTAAGAAAAATTAGTTTTGAAAGCCCATTTTGAGACACCTAGTGCCTGATTTTTTTTTTTTTCAAAAGGGTTGAGTCTGAGGCAATGGCCGGTAATAAAGCCTCTGAAGCTTGTGGAAATCTGAATGGCAATCAGTTGAGGTGAGATTTGCTTTCACTCTTTGCTGTCTAGATTAGTGTGCATCTTAAGGAAACATGGTACTTTTCCAAACTTTTGCTGTCATTTATGCCTGTAATATTGTAATGCGTCTTACTGATATTCCAAAGACTATCATTTAAAACTTCATAAGCAATTTTACAAACATGTACCTCTTAACAAATATTTGTCCATATTGTGCATACTAAAGTATTGAACACGTTAAGTTAATGTCTTATGCTATTGTGTTGCACTTAAAAAGTGATCCGGACAAACAACGAGACAATGCAATATCCTGGTTACCTAGTATTTTTTTAAATAGTAATCAGTTCATGTCCCCTCCTGCCCTTGGAAACTGAGAAAATGATGACAAGAACCTCATGGACTACAGTAAATATTTTGAATGGATCTTCTCTAAAATCTGTATTTTTTTTTTTTTTAGTTAAAACTCAGTTGTTCATGTTAAATCAAAAATCTTGATGCAAATTTAACTATGATGGCTCTGCTATTTAATTGTAATATATTTATGGGCCATTTTTCCAAGTATTTAGGCCATTGTTTAGAATTCCCTGAAGACAGATTTCTTCAGTGGTTGAGCTGTGTTCATTTGAAGCTTTTGATATGGGTTGTCTATTGAATATAGCTCTATGTTACTTGTATTTATCATTCAGACACAGTTAATTTATCCATTACCAAGATGTACCAGACTTTCTGAATCCATTTTCTTTGTTTGAAAGGAGATTTGTTTCTATTGTCAGATTATAGCAATTTTTCTATTTGTGAACAAAATAACAGTAGGCTTTCGTTTAAATTCCACACCTCAGAATTTGATTTCAGAAATCTGGGTGCTTGAGCAAAATTGCTAAAAGTCATGGATTTGTTTATTTTATGTCTGGAATAAACTTCTGCCACACAGAAGAATGCAAAATTAAGTTATGGAGCAGTGCTGATCATTCATTTAATGAGATATCCAGGGGAATAAAATACAAAAGATTTATTGGCAGAAGGGACAAGTTCTTGTGATATTATCTTTTCCTTAGCGTGGTAATAAGGAAAAGTATAGTCAATCCCTTTCCTGGTAATAGCAACAAAAAATCTACCTATGAATAGTAACGTAGAAATATGTAACCTTTAGCTGATGAAAGAGATCTTTATTATATATTATTTCTAATGTGCAATATTCTTCACTGTTATTTATGATTAAGGATTTATTCCTTGATGTGTGGTACTGTTTTAACTTGAATATAAAATGATCCACTAATAATTAGATTCTGCCTATGGAAAAATTATATATTTGTTATAATTTTCCAAGTATAGAATCTAATTATTGGACATACACCTTAGATGTGTCCCTTTCCCACTGCTATAGCAGGGGAAATAAATCTTGGGGGTCAGCTAGCTCCCTTACCTCTGCCTCTCCCCAACATCTTTCTCTTGCAGCCCCTTACTGTCAGACCCTCCTCTCTGAGCACCTGGAAGTGAGGAGCAAATTTGAAAAAACTGCCCTTGAAACAGGGGTAGTAATTTGTCTATAGTACCCATAGACTTAGTTCATCCTAAGTGTTACCTTTTTAGAAACGTACTGTACTGTGCAGGTTTTAGCACAGTACTCCTTAAACACAGTTTTAACCAGTGCTTTGACACCTACCTTATGTATAGTAAAAATGATGCATGATATTAGTCAAAAGCCAAGAGGCTCAGAATTTGTTATTTAGTCCCTTGGGCTGGGCCCCAGCAGGGCCAATAGCATTTCAAACTATGGTGACCCCACAGCTCAGCACTGCTCAGTATATGTGTGTGTATTCCAGATCCTCTTCCTCTTCCCACCCACAAATTATCTGTTTGCTAATTAGCCCCCCACTTATGACTGGAACCAGGTGCTCTTGTTGTGAGTCCTGGGATCCTCCAAAAATGTATATGCAGGTGAGGCACAGGGCAGCCTGATCTAGCTCTACCACATGGATGGCAAGGCTACACTAATCACATGTGACGGGCTGAGAGAGAGGGTGACAGAGGGTTTTGGGTGAATGTTTGGGACCCAGTTTGGTGATGTTTGCTAGATTTTTAAGGCTGGTGAAGAAACAGGAATAATTGGAAATGGTGTGAGGAGGCAGAGCTCAGTTGTGGGTGTGAAGAGGAAGTAAAAATATATGCAGTGCAGTGGCTCATCATGACTTTGAAAAGAGTTGGCTCTGAGGGGGACTGTGCTCTGTGAACACTACCATGCATCTTTTTCGGATGGGCTGCCCTAACCTATCCTTGTGGCAGGTTCCCATGAGCATCTCGGCTTTTTGGCTAAAATCAAATGTAGCTCTTGAGCCTCGCCTGCCTCCCTGTGGAACCAAGCCTACTACTGTTAATCATGGACTCTTCCCCACACCCACAATTGTATCCCGCATGTTATTTGTAACTATATATGTTTTCGGAACCATCTTCCTATTACAATTCAGTATTGTTGTGCAGGGTCTCCTGTATATTCTCTGCTTTGTAAGTTTTGTGCCCACTCCCTCTTTTCCCCCTTCCCGCCCCCTTACCCTTAGTCTTAGTTGGCTACATGTTTCATACGCAGCTTAGTTGTGTTGCCACCCCTACCCGCATCCTCTACTATGTAGCCCCCCTGCTTGGTTCTTTCTGTATTTCCTTGTGCTTTGAACTCTGTCACTTGAACTTTAATATTCTAATATTTATAAAAGCCTTAATCTGTCTGTCTGTCTCTTCATAACACTTTATTCATGCTCTGATCGGCTGACAAACAGCCAAACAGAGTGCAAAGAAGCATTCGGACAGGTGGCAGCGCGTCACCATGATGGCGGGGG